AAAGAGCGAACAGAACCACCAACGTCTCTCAATAATCGTTCATTAATAAGCCGTCGGCTGAGTGTTGGGATGATGCGATAACCCAATATTTCCTAGCTTATTGCGCAACAGTGCGTTGATACACATGATTCTCACCCCCTAATTTCTTTTTTGGGCATGAATTGCACTTACCTGTTGATATGTCGTTGATATCATATGGTTCTCTCCAAAACTTTCTTAAACTACTGGAAACCTGTCGACGTTTTTCGGAAAAACTCCATGATTACCCATTATTCTTGAAGGCCTACCGACATTATAACAAGTGCTTACAATTTACTAAGCATATATTCGTGTTTTCTTTCAGTTAACTCCGCCAAATAAGTACGATTTCAAGTAACCTTATCTTGTCAGCATCTGCAATAACGAACGCGATAGATAGGCATTGCTGCAGTTAGAAAACTGATGCGTTATAAATGACATTGTATGTCTGAGTTTTAAAAAAGTACAAGTAAATCGCCTTTTCACAATCGACGTCTTCGATTTCCTAACAATTGCGGCTACATCTCCGTTTCTTACATCAGGTTGATGTCGAATTGTCGTTCAAAGTATTCTAACAAAAAAGTACTCTTCTAAATTACAAAAGCAATATCAAAACAGACAAACTGCTCATGGTAGACAGATGAATGCCGTAGCAATAATCTAAACTAGGAATCCATAACGCCATCTGAAATATTAATGGCGTACCAATGGTACAATATAGTTTGCTGAACAAAAAACTTACAGTGAGGTCCGTTAGTACTAGCGAAGCCAGTTGAAAATAAGATAGGCAGGAAACAATTATTTGAGTATAAATGTTTACAAGAAACTAGTACAAAGTCAGAAACAGGTATTCAATAACAGATCAAAAGTACATTTAGCTTACTCTTTCTTTGGATCACCATCCATGCTTATTTACTTTATTTCTTGCATTATGTAAGAAAGTCTGGCTCGTAACATCAATGGCTTACTTTATTTCTTTCTCTGGGAAGATTGCGCTTTGGAACCGTGAACACAGAACATCTATAAATATATTAAGACTATTGTGTGAACTAACTTTGAATCGTTCTGCACAATCCGAAATTACTGATACCCGTCTTACGTTTAGTCCCTCATATGGTATGAGTAGCTGACAATTCCAGTGCCAGCACTTAAGCTAGACACGTTTTGGTTGACTATCGCTGTGCCTGTCCTAAATATCCATAGACGAACTTTTGATGTAAGCAGGCAGTTTGGTCATCTTGTCAGAAAGGTCACTGACTGCTTTCAGAATCATTTTAGTGTCATCGCTAAGCAACATTTGGCTATCATAATTACGGCTACTCAAACTTACGGGTTACTAACTGTAATTGAACTCAATGGGAGGTGTGATGAGGATACCTGTTTCAGATTAACTGCTTTGTGAGTATTTACTCACTGGATACTTACTTAGCTATAGGAGAAAAGTTCTCAGACAAAATATTGACAACAAGAAAGTAGACTGAGACGCATGTGGCTTCCATTTTAGCAACCTCTAGTTCATCAAGGGTGCATAAGTAGTCCCTCATTGTATATGTAACAGCCCAAAAAAATGAATGAATTGCATACGTTTACCAACTCACCTCTTCTGCTTCTCTGTTACGCATGGCTGCGTGTCTTCCTCATGTTCATTTGTAACCAAGTACTTCAGTGAATGATCCTTCCAGTCTCTCGAATATGTGGTAGTCATCTGGCAACAATGGTTTTAAAGCGGTGACAGCTTAACACCGCGATGCAATAACGTGCATATTCCCATGTAAAAGCGACCAAGGAATATGATCAAGAATATAGGTCAAAGAAACATCACCCATGTAAACAAACAATTGCTTGTTCAGCACCCGTTTGCTGATGACTAAAACTTGTTTCCTTTTCCTGTCGCTAACGAGACTGTATTGTCCGGATCGGGGCTATAAATCAATGGAGAATCGTTATAAGACTTTCGAATTATTGCACTTAAAAACTCCAGAACATTCGTCATAGGTTGCTAGTGAACGATAGCAAAGCACTAACCAACATGCAGACCTACAACACTAAACTTTTATATTTACAGCAGGCCTCGGGAAGTGGTGTCACAATATTTATGGGAATGTGTGCAAGAGAGGAATGATTACCTCATAATGTTGTGTGGGGATACGGATAGAGTAGCAAAGTATATGTCAGAGCACTCCACGTATAGTCTTGACTTGCAAGAGAGAATTCAAATTATACTTGTAGTACTAGAGGGAAAAGAGTCAATAAGGTAATCCAAAGGGTTGTAAAATGCTTTAAACTCAATCCTTCTGCCATCATCTTAGGTTCACCGTTTGCAATCACAATGTTGTCTCCTGCTTCATTTTCATTTACTGGATTGCAGGTGTGTTCGTTAGGGAAAGCTAAGCTGTACTTCCTCACAAACTCTACTATTAGCTTCTTCAATCTTCTGTAAAAGTTCGATCGAGAGCATCTCATCGAGTTTGACACTCTCTTGGCTGTAACCCATCTCTAATCCCTTTTTAATTACGTTCTACACTATTTTTCTAAAACGAAGTTAGCTGTATTCACACTGGATAGAAGCAGTAGTCGAAGTCTCTGACAGTAACAACAACTCACCTGCATGGCGTTTGTAGCACGTATTATCAGCATTTACTTGGAGGAGCAGAGATCTGGTACAACAGCGCAAATGTTAGCATCGGTGAATGCCTCGAGAAGAACCACGCGACATACAAGTACAACATACACATTTCAAAAATCTGTTGATGCGGTTCCAGTGCCAAAAGATAAACCTTATTACGAAGTAGTCTCATCCATAATTCTGCAATTTTAGTTTACGTAGAGCTTGTTCGTCTTCTTTCAGTACGTTTTCCCTTTATTGTCCTGCAATGAGAAAAACAGAGTCATGTTAATAACGTTACATGTAACTTATCTGAGAAATAAAAACTATATGAGTAATGGTCGGCACTGATAGCCTTTTCTTCCCGCTTTCTGAACATATACAGGAACTGTATATAAAATCACTTGGAAAGCAAACACTTAGTTGTCTCTAATTTTCACAATCAGTCACCCTTTCAAATTATCAGTATGCCTTCCCATGAAACTACAAAAAAGACAAAAATAAAAATTTGGAAAAAGTTTATTGTGGCATTATTACTACTGATAAATGAAATAAACATCTGATACAGAAAAATATGTTGAAAATACAACCACAAAAAGCTTCTCATAGTATACAGTTCCTGTCACATCTCCATAATTTCGTATATTCCGAGCCATCTTTTTTAACATAAAGAAAACTTCGCAAAGATGTGTTAAAGAAACTTGCGTCTTACACATTGATGATTCATGCGTAAAAATTCTTGAATTTTCTCTCTGGTAGCATTGCTTACCACTTACCATCGTTGGCCATATTCCTCAAAAACCTGTTTTGTGCATTTTTCGGCTTCGCTGAATCTGTCATACTGTTTCCTTTGACTAGGAATTGAAATTGTTGTGTTATTACGGAACAACGTGAAACATACTTATATAAATTAACTGTTGAGAGTTGAGATTTCTTAGTCTTCACATCAACAACAGTAACCTGCTTACCAGTTCCACCCCTAATACTTTCCACTACTCCGTCCATTGATTATTATTGCGACATCACCAGCCAAAAACATTATCTTCGAACGACAACCTTCTAAAACATGGATCACAAACCATCAATGAGCAACTTGAATGATTTTATAACATGTTATTATTTTTACTACTATCAGTACACCTATCTTCCTACCATAATCTTGTACTTTTACCTATTATGTATGGTGACTGATTCTATTTCATTGTGATAATCGACCTAAATTACCTTGATTGGTTTGACATTTTCGTATAAACATGTCACTCAACGTACAAAGTTACCTGGAACACTAGTTGACAGTTCAGAAAATTAAACGTTAAAAGTCACATGTTACTTAAGGTTCACACTGTTTTTGATTCATTGTTAGACCTTGTGGCTTACGCTGAAGATGTCACAGGTATTCGTTGTTTGACAACGCTTTAACCAGTAACACATTTTATGAATCGTACTCACCAAATGAAATTCAAAAGACAGAAGCGGGGAAGTTCGAAGATATTTTTGATAGGCTATCAATATATCGAGGATCGTCTGATCTAATCGGGTTAGCGATTGCAGGGGATATTGAGGACGGCGTTCCCACTCGTGATCTGGTGCGGATGCATGACCGGGCGCCTTCAGCTAGGTGAGTCCGTTAAAACTAATATGGTCAGCATCCAATGTCGGAGACTTACAGAGCTATTTATTTTGGCGATTTATTTACCGCTACAACGCTTACGACCAAGTGTGCACTGAAACACCATAAATATGAATTTAAACCTCATGTTCTTCAGTAATTTACTTTTGTCATGAACGTAATGGGTATGGATAGTCCGAGAAGGGATAAAATTACTGTCTTATACTCTTTGTAATTCATCTCTAGCACACTATCGAATTCAGTTGAGCTTCCGAAACGCCTGTTCAGTACTAAAGGCTGAGACGTTTCGCTTATGTCGACTGAGATATCTCTTGAACATTAAGTGCTACGAACAGTACTAAGTAATTCTGAAACAAAACAAACCGTTAATACTTTCATTAGTACTTTGCCAACTGCTAACATTTATGGTGAGAGCTTTAAACTTGCCGGTTAGTTGACATTTCGTCTTAAATTTCGTGTAATATAGCGATCATAACAAACTCCGCGTATCTAAAACTGTTAAGTTATTCTTATTGCGTTGTTTTCTAGACCTTATAAAGTTTCAAACAAAAGGTGAGATTCAATAGAGTAACTGGTATCCCAGATCAATTTACGGTGCAACAATCTAGCCAAAACAGAAAAAAACTTAATTAATGTTTTTCTCACTGATTTTGTGATTTCACTGTAGCAAATGACTACTTAAATATGAGAACAATTGATATTCATGTAACCCAACAGACGTCCAACAAACCCACAGTAATTGAAATGCGGGATGGCCGCCTCATACCAAGCTGTTCAAGGTCGTTGGAATGAAACGGCGTCGACTTTGAGTGGGCCTGACTTTATCATTCTCCCCTCAACATTCGAGTAATGGCTCACCCCATTGTTGACGAAAGTCTTGGGAAAGATTACCCAAAAGAGCTGTTGTTAAAAAAGCATTTGAAGTTCTTAGTTAGATGCAAAAGTGAGAATGACAGCACTTTAGACTATTGCAGAATGTCTGGAATCTACTGGGTTCTTACTGCTCTTGACTTGCTCGATGCGCTGTCAGAAGTAGATGAAAATGAAATAGTTGACTTTGTACTGAGTTGTCAGAAAACGTGTGGTGGTTTCGCTCCGTGCCCCAAACATGATGCACATCTGCTCTCAACTTTAAGCGCTATCCAAATACTTGCAATGTATGATTGCTTAAACAGAGTGAATGTTGAGGCCGTGTGTGCATTTGTTTCCAAATTACAGGTGAGGTGTGTACGAATCTAGAAATTTCCTTTAATGCTCGTATTTGTTACGTTTACGTCCTCAGCACTGCCTCATAATGAGGCATCATATATTTATGATGTTTATAAGAAAGCGTTCTAATACTCTATTCCTGTGGTACTATTTTGTGATTTACTGGATCCATAAAAAAATTATATGCGGCTAAAAATCTCATGGCTTTCAAAAGGAACGGATATACCTAATATTAGGGGTTATGTAAACAGAGTTATCTCACGTCGTAGTTTGAAGAAATGCATTTTATCTTTCTAAATTTTAATCTAGCCGTTCAGTGAGTTGTGTTGTTTAAAATAGCACGTTTTCTTGCAAGACTTATCAAAGGCTTGAACGGATATGTATTTCAGAGTTAGCAGCGCTTACGCTTGTTACTCCTTGTGGGGCATAGGCCGCCAACTAGGATTCTCCAACCAACCCAGTCCTGGGTTCTTTACAGTTACTCCCATGTGTTATTCATCCTTCCTATGTCTTCCTCCAGCTCTAAATACACTGTTCTTTGATCTCTACCTTCTGATTTCAGGATTTCAACTTGGGTCTTGCCTTGCGATACAGCTAGACGACTTCCGCAATGTATGTCCTGCCCGTCTACTTATTTATTTAAACACGAATATAGGTACGATGAGGCTCCAAATACATATGCGCCACATCTCGTCATTCGATTTGTATGAGAGGTGGGGTACTGCCCGGATACCCGAACAGGATCGGGTGATCTTCAGGTGGCCACTCCCCGAGCATTTGACCTATAAGTCTAGTCCTACCCATCTCCGGCGTATTTTCCTAATTTCATTTTCAGCTGGGAGCTGGTATGTTTTCTGCCACAGTTGGTTATTTTTGATGGCATCTGGATAATGGATCTTCAGTATCTTGCGTAGACAACTGGTCATATATATCTGTACTGTTTTATGATGATCGTGACAGTTCTGCAAGTTTCAGTTTCGCACAATAGAAGTCTTGACGTTTGTACTAAATATTCTGACTTTGGCGTAAGCTGACAGTTGTTTCGAGTTCCATGTATTCTTCGGTTGTAGGAATGCTGCCCTTGCTCTGCCAATACTTGCCTTGACATCTGCATCAGATCCTCATTGTTCATCGATGACGCTACCCAAGTACATAAAACTTACCACTTCCAGAGCTTATTTATCAAGTGTGGTTTCGTTGGTGTTCATTGTATTGTATTTTAAGACGTCATTTTTCCTTCGTGAATATTGAGGCTCACTATTGCAGGGGCTGCTGCTACATTGTCTGTCCCACCTACATTTGTTGGTGTGTAAAGGATGGAAAAGTTAGGTCATCTGCGAAGTGAAGATCGTCTAGCTGCATCCAAGCTGTCCACTGTATTCCGTGCTTACCCTCAGATGTGGAGGTTTTCATAATCCGTTTGATTACCAGAAGATAGGGGAAGGGAGAGAGTAAGCAGCCTTGACTGACACCGGTTTCCACTCGGAATGCATCTCTCCATGCACAACTTTGCAGTGTACACCGTCGCATGAATTTCGTGTCATATTGACGATCTTCCCAGGCATACTATAGTGTAGAAGAAGGTTCCATACGGTTCTATCTACACTGTCAAATGCTTTTTCATAGTCAAGGAAGTTGTTCATTGACGAGTTCCATTCGAATAATTGTTCGACAATGATCTCTAGTGTCGCAATTCGGTCTGTTCACTACCGTTCCACACAGAATGGAACCTGTTAATCTCGAAGTTGGGCGTCTATTTAATCTTTCATCCGGTTCAGCAACACTGTTGGAGACTTTTCCTGATACTGATAGTGTTGTGATGCCTCTGTAGTTCTCACACTTGTTGAGATCCCCTTTCTTTGGTATCTGGATGGAGTATCCTTCTTTCCAGTCTTTTCGTACATGCCAGGATATTTGAGATGCGTTTCTCCCTCATTGAATGTAAATTGTTGCTTCAGGACTGCACCAACACCTGAACTAAAGATTGGGAGTGAAGTAATCGAACGTGTTGAAAACTTCACTTATCTTGGAAGTCTGATCATCCCTAATAGGTTGGTGTCTGACGGAATCCCTGCTCGGATTTAAAATGCTTTGTCTGACTTTGGCCAACCACCTATGGCAAAGGCGAGATGTCCGTATATCAATTGAAGGACGAGTATACTGTGCGGTAGTTCCTTCTGTTCTGCTTTACCGTTGCGAAACGTGGCCATTAAGGTTAGAGGACACTCGTAATTTATATTTAATCACAGGTGTTATGGAAATTGTCACTCGCATCTGCTGGGATCACCGGGTAAGTAATAGTGAGGTTAGACGCAAGGTATTAGGCAATGATGGTAAACCAATTGATGAGTTTGTGAATCTTCATCGACTGTGATGGTTGAGCCACGTATTACGTATGCCCAACCACCGACTACCACGGTGAGTAGTGCTTACTAGTGTTGAAGACGGATGAAAGTTAGGGGTGACCAAACCAAAGCGTGTCATCGGTCTATAAAGTCACTAACTTCTGGTTTGAGCCATGTTGGTAGATGCAAAGTGCTTGGTTGGGGTCTGCCCGACTATCTTAACCAGTGGTTGGAGACCCAGGGCGACATAGCTCAGAATCTATCACAATAACGTGGGTGTATACACTCTTTGTCTCCTCTTAACCCGTGAGATTAAAATTACATTATACCTTTCTTTCTACAAAGTAATTCATTCTTTCTGTATAATATCCTTTTATGCAGTCTTTTTTATGTATAACTACCTTTGAAGTAACTACTATGAATTTTGTATTCATCTTGTTGTGCTAATGATGTATGGTAACTTGGACCGATGCATATGTGCCTGATCCTACGTTGTAAATGATTGACTGACCGTTCTTCCTCTCCAGTCTTCCCGAAGAGAGTGTGGAGGACCTTTGCAGTTACTTCTATGTCTAACTTCAGCTGGTATGCTGTTTGACAGTACAATAATATTATCTGGAAAGTCTATTCACTTCAGATATTCCTTTAACAGAAAAGCAGTAAATGGCTTAATAATGGAATTAAAGCGTACGATGTCGTCAATAGTGCAAAGCTAAGTACGATCTTGTAGCATTTCACCTCTACTTGTGATAACTTGTGAGTCTATCCTGTCTTGTAGATACTTTCCAAGCACATTGGTCATAATGAGTGTAAATTGAAATCAAACTTTCCTGGTGTTAATTGGAATAATCCTATATTTACCATCTGATAAATGACGAGGCAGCATCTTAGTTGGAAGTTCAGAAATGATTTGTAGCCCTCATATGTTCTAGGACTTTTTATTTCCTTTGACATTTAATTCCACACATAATTAGTAGATCGGTGTTTTCGGTTCTTTCATTAATATAATAACTCGGTTAGTCACCTAGAAGCTATGTGTACAAGTGACCGGAATGTCAACACTGTAGTACAGGATTTTTGTGATTAGTAAATTCTTGCTCTCTTCATTAATTACTAATATCACAATTACATGAAGTTCAAGCTCTGAAATATCATCGTTAACTATTTCACATATGATTATAGTGAAGGAAAATTGGGGTTGTCTATTTGGATGAAGCTAATGTCACTAAAATCCACTGTATTAACTAAAATTTATCATGATTTAGTTCGTCTAACAAGTAAAGAGTTGGTTTTAAGGAACAAGCTAGGGATTTGATACTGTTCTTTCCATCTTTCTTAATCCAACTGTGCTTTTAGTCATTGGCATACTCATTGCTTACCCTTCATCTCTCTGTTTGGCGAATGAGCTTTTTGACTGTATAAGGAGTATTTTTAAAAAAAAAAATTGGATGCATCTAGCCATTTGCATCATAACTTTGTGTGTTAATAAATGTCCTTTATGTTTTGACAGCAACCAGATGGAAGTTTCGCTGGAGATATTTGGGGGGAAATTGACACTCGGTTTTCATTTTGTGCCGTTGCTACACTGCATATAGTTGGAATGCTTTCCAAAAATACTATCGACATCGAAGCTTGTGCTTCATACCTTGAAAAGTGTCAAAATTTAGATGGATGTTTTGGAACTCGACCTGGGAGTGAATCTCATGCAGGTCAAGCATATTGTGTCGTGGGAGCTCTGGCTATACTTCGTCAACTACATCGATTAAATATAGACCGTGCTGCTTGGTGGCTAGCCGAACGTCAGCTTCCTAGCGGAGGCTTAAATGGAAGACCGGAAAAACATCCTGATGTGTGCTATTCATGGTAAGCTTAGCAGTACTTTTAATTGAATGAATTGTTATCCATTTATGCTTTGTACAATATTTCGAGGTACTTATGGGATGTGTATTTCAAATTTTCAGCTGTGAATCTTATGTAAAGTATCTACTCATTACATATATCAGGGGGATAAACGGTTAGACAGATGTATAGGATAATATATAATTGCTCTTAATTGTACTTATTTGTGCAGTATTCATTGGAACTACTCAATTGTTGTAATACTCATATTTACAAAAAATATGTCAAATTTATGGACACCAGGTTTTATTTTAGTATTTCTTTTGAATTAGCTAATCGTAATGTCACTCGTCAAGCATGGACTACACTCTGGTTTCAGTTATGATGTTATTTGGCCGTCCAAACTGAAGTAAGATGGAATGCGAATCTGAAACCTGTTGTCAACTGCTGTAACCTGTAAATTACAACTTCACTTTTTCATAATATCAAAGGTCACAAAAGTGTAAATTAATATAGGAACAGTCGGATTTTTGGGTTATGTTATATCATTTAACAGAGAAGTGGCTTATGAAATGCACAATCAATTTCCTCATTTTACAAAACAAATGGAATAAATCTAGAATAGTTTAATGATACTCCAAATGTCGATGTTTCATAGAGTTAAAAGCGTTTCGGAATATCATACAAATCCGTACTGATGTAATGGAAGACAGTTATTTCTCGCCATTTTGTCTGAGTTCGGTTTCTTGCTAATCTTTACGTTAGTTTTGTTTGCGTTTGCAATACCAAATTTCGTATCATATCAGGCTCATTTTTGTACTTTGATATTTTCTAGGTGGACTGTAGCTACTCTTACTATATTTGGTCGTTTGACATGGATTAACCAGGCTGACCTTACTCGGTTCATTTTGGCTTCTCAGGATGACCAAACTGGCGGTATAGCAGATAAACCTGGAAATATTCCTGACCCATTCCATACTTTATTTGGTCTTGCTGGTCTCTCTTTATTAGCCCAGGTCGACTCATATTTCTCCTCACCAAGGAAAATGGAAAATGGAGTAAGTGGTGTAGAAGATCCAGCCTTTGTCGCTTTACAAATGGCTAGAAATAATTTGAAGACTATTAATCCAGTATTATGTATGCCCCAATACATAATAGATCGATTGCAGCTCAAATTTCAACTACTGTAAATATTTTCTACCTACTGCAGACTTATGTTGTATTTTGTTTTTTCACTGGCTCTAAACATTTCATCCTACTACGTGGAGCTTATAATCGTTGTTCTTAACAAAATTGTGGTTCAAGTGTACTGCTGATCAAAGTGTTTTGGAATCAGTACTTTAATATATTGTAATACGTACTTCTGACATCCTCAACATCAATCTGTTTGTGGTCTTTCGTTATCTATACAGTCCCTGTGATGTTCTTTTAAAACATACCTCTTGTAACAAAATTTTCAAAACAAAGATTTTGTATTTTCTCTTGTTTTTAATTAGAACCAGCTAAGCACTTCAATTAAAGTTAACAGAAAACCATCAGTAGTCGTGTATGTATGACCAAGTATCCCCGTGTGTATGCTTCGTGATAGTATTACTACTGATGGAATAGGATTTTTTAGGCAATTGGTCGAACATATCATAGTCTTTAAATTTTGAATGTTCTGGATTAGCTTACAATAAAGTGAAACATGGTTCTGTATATATTTAAAATTTGTTGATACAGAAACTTCCAATAAATCAAATATATTTATACGGATAAGAAACTCCAGTTTTTAACTGATTGGGAAATTGCATGCAATTCAAAGAATTTGTTAATATATTTCTTTATTGAACATCATGGAAACGTTTTCTGAGGATTGGATTTATTGTTTATCTTTAGCAGTTTTTAATGCTCCTAAATAATCGACACATTTTTCAAACTGTTTTCTTCACTGGTAAATGTGGAAGCATAAGTGCTCCCAGCTTTTCAATGGTTGTCCGACATGTTTCGGTTCGTGATCTCAATAAAATTCAACAATCTCCACAACCCCCATATTGTTATTTTCTCACTATTGTACAAATCAATCCTTCAGTAATTCCATGGAAATTATCTAAAGTGCATTTTAGGATTTGTAACGGATTCTTAGTGTCACGTGATGTAGACTTTTCTTTTTCAAACTATACTATATAGTTTTGTTTTTGACTTACAATATGTATTTGATTCTATCGTATTTATTCACACGAAATTATAAATTAGTCATATTACTGTTTAAGATTCACTTCGAGCTTCTTCCGAAATTCGGTATGCTTTTATTATGAGCTTGTAAGAGTAAGAAGCATTCACCAAAATTAGAATGTTGAGACGTGAGGGAAGGATCTCAGACGTAAGTTGCTACAATTCTATATATTTAGGGGATTCGTTTGACATCCAACAGTATAAACTGCTTTGTTGTCTATATGATTGGTGAAGTGGTGGCTTATTGGTTCAATTTTCGGCAAATAATTTCCAGATTCGAAATCCTCCCAGTCTATTTCGGTTTGGGCATCTGGGTATTATCATTAACCTTCACGCAGTGTGGCTCATATTCAAGTACCTGGAGAAGAAGGTAATTCAATTAACTTTAACTACACGACCATCGATAGTAAGGTGACTGGTTTTTTATGGATTTATCCGGCCTAACTCAAATATTCCAACGCTGTCCGACGATGAAAATGCTAATTTTATAGCTTCAAGGTACCCACTTTAATTAAATATAATAATGAATAATATAATACAGTAAATAATTTCAAATGACTATATATCCCTGAAGGTTTAGGAAAATGAGAGAAGGTTAACGACATTTATACGATAAATTCATTGCTATAAATGTATTTTCGCATATTAAATTTCTATTAACATAAATCTCACATTTAGTTAGATGAACTGCGATACAATACAGAAAGAGTTCTCACCATAATTTCATGTCAGCTTGTTAGCAAAAAAGTATTAAAAAGCCATTTTATAGATTGTAACTCCTCAGCAGTGTGTACTCATTGGCTCATAAGACATGGAATAGACGGCTTTTTTTATTTTCGATGTGAAGGATAGGTTCAAATAATTGATTTGTAATTCACTAGATCATACTTCATTCATTTTACGAATCAAAGTGACTGAGTCATTCACGAAATAGCGAAGGTAAATGACTGAGTATCTACCATTACTCTATATTTTTAATAATAGACTCTAATCCTAACAACTTATCAGCTCATATTACCTATAAACATACAAAAATACGATTAGTATCAAATTCTTATTGGACCACTGATTTATTTGTTTGTTAAGTTTTGAACAATGAGGCTGTACATTAAAGAGAGAGAAAAAAGAAAGCTAAATAAACAATGTCTAAATGCTAAAGATGTTTTATTTATTTTGTTTTTAAAAAGGAAACTATGATCACTCTTTGTCAATTACGTTTATTCACTTATATGTTTCTGAAACAATGGACCTGATGAGAATAGAGTCTATATTAGTAATAATAATAATAATCACAATATCATTTTAAGTTGATTTATGTTATACATTGTTTAAATATCTATATATGTATCATTAAACAATAGTCTCCTTTTCAAATGAAACTTTAGCAACATTGATTAATTTCCATTGAAACTATAAATATACAGTTGAAATCAGCTCTCAGCAGTAAACAATAAATGTATGAAAAAGAAATATGTAAACTTGTGAGGGTACAGTAATACAAATTGATAGTAATTCAAGATAAGAGAAAATATCTATAATTGAAAGGTTAATTAGTATTATTCAGTAGGAAAAAAGTAACAAATTGGCGCCAATTTTTAGTATATTGTCCACTTCATGTAAGAAATATTTATAACTGTTTGAGATAAAAAATACCAGAGGCCTCAATATTTTAGGTTAGATTCTCCCACCAAGAGTATATCTTTAGTAATCAAATAATTATAATACTGTTATTGATCACAAACTTCATGTTTTATATAGAAAGAAAAAATTTTTATGTACGTACAATAAGATAGAAACAGCGATTTCTCTAATATCTCAAAAAATGCTCTGTTACTGAAATCTGATTGAATATTTGTGTTGATAATTATAATTGCTATTAACAGGATTGATCATATTTGTAAGGAAATTTATAAATAATGAAATAGTGTTGGTCGTCATCATAAATGATGGAAGATCACGTAAAAAAAGTAACAATTTACTTAGTTTAACTTCTTTTCTAATTAATACAGAGAGATCTTAAAGGTGTATGTTTGTGCGCAATTTGTTAGTTTCAGTCGAAAAGCATGCGTTCTATTTAAATTATACATTTGATTTTATGATTCTATCATTGCTTAAATTTAGAGAATTTTTAAAAAAATTAACTGATAGGATGATTGAAATGTTGAAAGATGTTGATCATTTATATCTATCTGATGAATTATGTATAGTTGGAGGGAATTTATCTTGGTTTTTAAGTTGTCCTGAAGAATGATTCATGTTTATAAGGCAAGGATGCTCAGAATTGGTTATCATTCTTGCTCTCATACCTAAAGGAGAAACAGGACGTGGTGAATATGATGACTGAATATTTGGATGTAATGATTGTCTACTACATGAATGTTGTTGTTGATGTTGATTTTCTGAGTAACGTGGATCGCCTCGTGGGAAAACTGATGGAGAAGAACTAGCAGTTAAAAGACTTCGTGTAGAACTGGCTGTTGGGACATGTATTGATGATGACGATTGTGAAAGATAATCAAAAGATGATTTCGGTTGTAAGTTCAAATTTATCATATTATTACTTGAACGGTTGGAATTAATACTCAGTTGAGTGCGTAGACTAATCAGTTGGTGAACTCTACTAAGTGCCATGTGGTAATCGGTTAGTAGTTGTCTTCCGTACTAGAAAAAAAAGATAGTGATATATACATACATATGAATATCACCAAAACATCGTAGATTAAAAGTTGGACGAATATATGACTAGATTTATTACTGAAAGCGCCTTAATTAATATTAGTCATTTCGTACGAACATATAGTTGTGCCTATCTGTTTATTACACTGCTCCTATACATTCGAGTTCTCGAATTGGTTACTTTGTGGTAATCACTGTCGTGTTGTCAAGACCATAGTATCGATCAAATTTGTCATGTGATCGCTAGTCTAAGGGAGTAGAAAGTCATAGTATTTTTGTTACCATTTATAATGAGAGCTTAATGGAAAGTTGATATTTATCATGGGCTGAAATCAACTGGAGTAATTGATGGCGATGGACCTAAAGTCCCAAGCCTCGATACCGGTCAATGGTGTTCATTGCTGGTATTCTATACTGATAGGAAATAGCTGTCCAGGGTTTCTTGAATTTCAGTGATGCTACAACTGATGTTAGTCCATGTATTATATTAATTTCAAGCACAGCAATCGCCACAAATCACTGTCCTAATGAAGTATAGTTTTCATAATGTCTGAATTTTCTGCTGAAAATCAAATAAACTTAAAAGAGAAAATGCTGATGAAAACAACTTTTGATGAGGATTTAGGAAAGCCGACTGATTAAGTCATAAAGTAACAAATCCACTTCTCATTAATTTTTTAAATTCATATACTACCCACTTACTTTAGCAACACGTAGTCGACTAACCCAATGACGTAATGCTTTCTCATCTGTTGCACAGAAGCAAAACACATGTGTCGAAGAAGGATCTTGTGCAGAATAGGGCTGAAATAGGAAACAATTTACACAATATCAAAAAATTTCGCTTGCTATGAATTAAAACAGAAGTCACATTGTTGACATTTAATCTTTAGAGATTATAAGTATTTACTTATATGACTAAAGCGAATCATGCTAAATGATAAATAATTACATTTGATGATCAGTTGAATTATTCCTCGCTTGTTAAAAAAGATTTAGATGTACTGAAATACTATCATATATTATTTGTAAGAATTCGTTATATAAAAACGTCTCCTACTTTAAATGTCTTCAAAGATATCTTTCCATTGAGTTCATAATTATCAATGAATGAGTGAAACGGGTTAAGTTACCAATGAGTCTTTGTCATACTAGATTCATTATCAAGTTAAGATTGAAATTTATGGTCTGTAATATCAAATCATGTCATTAGGCGATGCTAAAACTGTCCACTGAGTAATGATATCTTAAAACCAACCTATGGGAAAAAGGTTTGCTTTTGGTATAATTAATAATAGGTGATGCTAATACTGTATCGAATTTATTGGTCGCAATAGTAGAAATATTACAAAATCATCATGATTAGTATGAAATTTCACAATCACTGGATCTCATTTAATAGCTCATATCGATTTTTTTTCATCCAGAGGTACATACATGTGATCTATGCGTGATGTTACGTATTCGATTGTATGAATTTGTACAGCATTTACTTACGCTTTCTTGGGTGTAAATAGAAGATGGCTACATTTTGCAGGAGATTTGAATTTGAATTCATTAAAAAAACAACGTAGAAGTTTTATGGTAGATAGTATGTATGGAACCATGATTTTGCTCTCAATTTTTTCCTCTCATTAGTCATCATCCAATTCATATTGGTTATTGAAGTCTTAAGCTCCCCGTAAAAGTATTTTAACTACTAAGTGTTTGAAAATGGTAGACACGATGTTCTGGACATAGGTTTCATGTAGTTTGTTACTCGTCGGAAAGGAGTTACTGTAATCTTGAGAGAATTGATGCCCCCTGAAGAATTCAATCACGTGTCACTCAGCGTCATAGAATTAGGTGTTGCTTTAAGTCTCCTAACATCATAGGATAGTAGGGGTGGTACCGAGTTACTTAGACTAGTTGCCACAGCGCAACGTGGTCACTATTTGTTCGCCACCCAAAGGATAAAACAAACATATTATTGATAACTACTCATTGATCATATATATATATATATATATATATATATATATATATATATATATACAACTGAATTCAAACAAGCATGTTAATGAAGCAACGTTTGACTTTTTTGACTGCCGCTCATAATCTCATTTATATTAAAAGAACTTAATTATATTTAAAACTATCATTAACGTTAGCAGACCAATTATCTATCATGACTTTTCGTAAAAATTAGAGCAGTTCTACACAAAAAGTTAACAATTCAAGTATGTAAAATGATTTATTTTTGGTTA